AGCCTATATTTGTAGCAACCGATATCTAGTCCCTAAGCACTATAAAACGTCCACGACAGTATGTGGTAGAATATTATCTTAATCACTACTTTACTCTATAGTCTAAGTTACTATACCAAATCTTGTGGTTTCTATATATATTAGAGGAACTACTACCACTATCGAGGGGATAAGGTAGAAGAAGAATCATGATAAATTAGAAGTGAGAAATGTAGGGTCTATATACTCTTCTAAAACCATCTAAACAAAGGCTCAATCTAATAAACAAGCAATTTAGCAAATAGGAAAATATGGGAGATAGTCCAACGATATAACGACACTAAAGTATATAAATACGAATTTAATTAAATAACGCCTCCTGATATACTTATCTCCGTACACGCTTTATATAAATAGAGGCTATACTATCCCGATACTTTCTTTTGAGTGATCTAGAACATGTTGGGCAGTTCCGGATCTTCTAGTCGCTCCTATAGTCTATGAAAGGAGAGTCGATGCCCTGCTGTATTACAAACTATTACATAGTTTTGGGAAAGCCGCTTATCTTCCTTTCGATGCCCTACGCTAAGCGTAGCGATATTGTGACAATTTCTATAGGGTGTCGGATATAAAAGGAAATATATTTGTTATAAAGGGCGCACGTTTGACAACCTTATAGATCCAGCGAGGTAAGGGTCTTGTTCGTAGTAATAAACTCTATCTTAGGCTGATATAGAGTTGTAAGAGCGTTGACTATGTCTTTATAGACACCGCGACACCGAATTGAACCTTTATATAAGTAAAAGCCTCTATTATAGGTAGGCGAAGTATCGAGTTGGAAGTAGAAGTTGGAGACTAAAAGTGCTGTTGTAACTTTAATAAGCTGACCTTATGGGCGTAGGTGTATTTGCTCTTTCTATAGCGGTATACTTTGAATATCGTCCAGCCGAATTGGGAATGGTAGCTCGATATTCAAACGAAAGAAATCTTGCCTATATTGCTTATCCAACCTATTTCTGATATCACTATATCTAGTGTGTCTATCAAGGAAGTCTATAAAGGAAGCCTATAGCCTCTGTATAGAGTGGGTTTTTCTCTTAGGCAGGCCCTTAGAGGCTTCTCCGGTCCCTAGTGAGATGACAATATCGCGAGATATATTTTTGTCCTAAATATAGGTAGACTCCTATATTGCTAGTTTAATGGGGTTAGGGAACCCAAGCCCACCATCCTAATACTCTTGACTGTTAACTATAATAGGCTTAAAAAAACTAGACTAGTGATTAACTAGGAGAAGTAATATATAGATATGGACGTATGGATATATATAGGGGCTACTATTGTTACACAAGCTCTATTTAAGTTTAGCACAATTCTGTAAGAAGTATGATTGGATATCAACTTACGCTTACTATAACGAAGCTTCGTCCCTATTGTCTTTAGGTCGAACCACTATATACCCTAAAAGCCATTAGGAAGATAGAGAAGGATTTCTAAAATTGTATATACCTGTCGGTTATGCTAAACCGTTGTAGTTTATGAATATTAAACGTTCGTTCCCCCTAGATATTGTAGTAAGTGCCACCTTTGTCCCTGATGCTGTGCTAGGGATATAACTAAATAAAAGTCCTGGGAAATTCTCTTGAAGGGTACCTTCTAGGAATCGCTTATTGTATATTGTATCGCTAGTTATATATTTAACCACTACTTTTAGTTTGCCTAATACGGACCTAGAGATTAAGAAATATCGATAGGTAAGGGTCTCGAATACACTGGTACAATAGGAGATAGGCCACTTTTGGTGGAATTTGGCCAGTATAGTCAGGCCCCCTGGTCTGTTAGTCATATATTGTGTATAGGATACTATTTATTGAAGACTTACCGGAGCTTGTACTAACTACAAGATCAATCATATCGTAGATTGGGCAATCTCTAAGTAATTTCTATAGTTTACCTAAGAACTCGAGGGGCGTTATACCTCGCGTACCACCGCTATTAATGCCTATAATCCTTACTCTAGCTGTTGGTGGCTTGATATTAACTAGCAATTCACTGTTATCACCAAAAAGGCAATCTATCCGGACTTGACTATCCGATTTCGGAAGATGAATGCTAAATATAGTAGCACATATATTATATATAGAGTGGCTATAGCTCAAATATCTCTCGGGGGGGGCGGAAAAGACACTAGATATAGACTATGTTTATTATAATCTGTCGTAGGAAACTACTATACCTTTGGGCGTTCGCTTGGTGAAGCTATGTAGTATCCGTATATCTATCCTCTAAAGCCTCGAATATATGGTTATATTGATTTTGTACCTCTCGATCTAAATAGGTAGAACACCGTGGTCTATATAAAAATTAAAATGCCTTATTGTAATGGGACCTATATAGGCTACGGTATATCAAATATAGGTCGAAGACTATAGAAAGTTAGGAGACGATATATGTGGAATCTAACACTCACAATATATCCTTTTCGGGTACGTATTTATTATGATACTAGAGGTAATAAATACTGCGACTATGTTGTATAGAATCTTGAACTAAACGCAGAGCTTAAGAAACTTCTATAGATATATATAGTGATCTTCCCTGATAGGACTTATATCTCTCGAGACCCTAATGAAGTCGAATACCGCTCCTGGGTTGTGTGCGGTATACTTTACTACTAAGTTGAAGAAATATAGAAGGTAAGAGGCGGAGAAAAGATATCGGAGACTAGATTTTATCTCTCTTGATTCTTCTATATAATATCGAATCTCGGCATATAACTGTTGATAGCGAGTGGATAGAGAAAGGTATTTACCTACTAGTTGGAATATTTTGAGTGTGGAAAAGCTTGATAAAAGTTAGTGCCTAAGGTTGGATGAGGTTAAGTAGTCCTCTATATAAGCCTCACTAAACTTACTATCCTCCGAAAAAATGATAAGTAATCTAGGAAGCGTATCGGAAGGTAACGAAGAAGTATTTTGAACCTCTATCCACGCTATTAAGTGTAGCCCAATTACCTCTAAAGTCTAAAAATCATCCGCAAATATATATATAATATCGCTAAAAGTGAAGACGAGTCTAGAATATAGAACGTCGACGATAGTACGTAATATAGTTGTGTGCTATATTGTAGTATAAGATATAGTTTCATAGCACTATATATAACTCTTTTCGGAAATAGGAATTTGCAATAGGTTACTATCGGCAAAAAGCATAGGATTATCGCTTATTAAAGACATCGTATCAATCCGTAGGTTGATATATACTCGATCTCCTCGATGTATATTATTTCGATTGAAGATATTCCGCATCGCCTTATCTTTGGTTAATATACCCAAAAAGAGACAAAGCTGAGGGCGTTGAATGTCTGGATTAGGCATTTCGCGAACTAGAGTGCTTAGTCGATCGGTTCTTTCTATAATGATCTCTCTTAAATCACTGTTCTCTATAACGCGAAGCCATCCGGTATGCTTATAGGAAGCCATTGTTTGATATCTTATACTTTGCGTGGAGTTACTTGAATTTATAGTATATTGGGAGTCTTTGATTGTAGTAAATGGTAAATGGCCAAATATAAGATTGTTTCAATATGTAAATTGAGTACACTAAAAATAACGTACAAGAATATGTGGATCAAGTCTTTTCGCCCTTTTAAAGATTATCTAGGATAGCGGATAGCTACCGGTTTAAGGTTTCTATGTTTGAAATGTTGTTCTCGAGCTGTTTGATTATAGTAATTATCTTTTCGACCGATTGCAGAAAATCGTTAGTAATTTCGATATATTCTCGACATTTATTATATAGAGCCTTTATGAAGTCCTCTTTTAAGAGGATTGTGGGATCTGGATTTGCTGGTTTCTTTGACTATTAGATATAGGATTTCAGTAGGTAATATCTTAGAACTCATATCTATTGAATAGTTAAATCTTTAGTAAACTCTAATTTATATTGGTAGTATACAATATTTTATTTCAATCAACCATTATATATTAGCCGCTGTGATTATATTCTACGGATCTTAGCCGGTAAATACAATATCCTAGGTGGCCACTAGAAAGAATCATTAAGAAAGGGCTTATTAATATAACTCCTATAAGTAGAGAGACCTATAAAAGGCCGGCATAGGGGTGACGCCTACAAGGAGTAACGCCCACGAGGGCCTATATAGGGTGACACGCACGAGAATACCTAACCACGGCACAAAGAGACCCTAGGAAATGTAACTGAGGGGTAACTATCACCGCATGACTTATTTAAACTTTCGGCCCCACTTTGATTGTTCCGATAAGCGTTATCCCCGAACTAATAGGTTCCGTCCAATATTTACGGCTAGTACGTAATTAGTAACACCGATAAGGCCGAATAAGCCTTATAAAAATAACCCTGGCGAGGGAGCAACGCGAAGGAAAACAAGGGAAAAGAAATAGTTATATCTAGGAGGTTCCCTACGTAGGAGACTTGATAGGGCGGACTGCTACGCGAAACAGGGGGGACGGAGCGCCCTACGAGGGGAAGAAAAAAGTGATTTCTGCGATGTCACGTTAAATAAGGTGGAAGAGATAAGGTATTTTGATTGCGTAGGAGGCTCCCTACGTAGGACACTTTTTAAGGCGGACTACTGCGCAAATTATTGCCGAACGTATTACGCCTACGCTATATAAACCCTGTCTTGTCTAATTTAGCTCGTGGGCCGGATCGTCAGCCAAGACACTAAATCGCAAGCTAGACTATTTATGGCAACCCTCGTCGCGCCACAACGCGGCGTGACTGATATTTAGGTACCTATGGTATATTAGTGTGGTATATTGCCCGTAAGGCCGATCTAATTGTAGGATCTAGAATTAATTTCCTATTAGTGTGCTTGACGCGGCCAATATACGCCGAAGACCACTTAGATTTAACTGTATAGCTAAATAAAACTATTACAACAAGGAAACTACTCTACTAATCAAAAGGATTATCGCCTTAAATGTCTTTCTACTCCCTCTATCCGGATAGTACCGGATCGAACGGATTATTTTGGAGCCTTAGTCAGGAGTCCCTCGATAGACGTGCCAAGTTATAAGAGAAATAGCTAAAGGTTCTCGAGGTAAGCCTCTAAGTCGGCGATCCTTCTGCCTAAAATTAGTATTGGTTGGAGAATATATCTATTTAGTAGACTAACTTTTGCTTCTCCGTAATCCTAGTATAGTTAGTAATAATTTCAATTATGAGGTAAGAAGGGGCACTATACCGGTCTTCCAATCTATTAATATAGTCTTTAAGCTTAGTGATCGATTCGCTTAATACCTTAACGTTATATTACGGTATCGGACTAGGTAATAGCTCGGGTAGTGTACTAATCGCTTCCACTTTCTCTTCGATTGGAGCTAGTGGGCCAAGTGGAAATAGGTCTAGATACTTGTATGGCTCTAGGTACTTATCCAAAATTTGGTCCTATGAAAATGTTTTATCGCTACCTAGGGCGTACTAGAGATCAGGGAACTCATCCCAATCTTCGCCCTATCTAAGAAATTCATCAAAATCGGCGGATTCTATGCTGGTGATATATAAGATAAGAAATAGTGTAGTCGGTTGAATTTATCTTGTTGTTCCTACGTAACCTACCTGACAACCGGGATTTAATTGGCGCTTATTCCGCGGCGTAGCGCCCACGTATGATTGTAAATTTAGAAATTATTGCTTTAAAAGGAAGATCGCGCTAGCGAGACGCTCTTACCTTAGATTGTCTATTTCCTCTAAGCTAACTATATCTATATTATCACAAAGCCGCCCCGATGACCGCCGAACCGAACGCCCTAGGTTATAACAAACAATACTATAAGGAGGAAGAATAACTTCTGATTGTCCTTAAGTAGCTAGGTAGACTCTTATAGTCAGAAATTGCGCTTAGATTCAACGAAAGTGTCCCAGAAGACCGATATAGAACTATATCGGCCCTAGAGAATAAGTGGCGATAGTTATAAAAGACCCACTAGTAAGACGATGTCACTCTAGGTTAGATTGTTGTTTCTAGTTTCTAATTTTGGTATAGCTTGGTCAACCTTTCTTATATCTTCCTAGAGTAGGGGTAGTAACTCGGTGGATAGCAGGGGATTAGGAAATGATCTACACGGAATATGATTTCGTATTATATAGATATTAATATACGCGCTTAGAATTTAAGCCTTGCTTTTTTCCCCTACGGTTCTAAGTAGTCATAACTATTTAACCCCCTTCCTACTAGGGATTCTATAGAATTCCTATCCCTCAAATTAATCCCTCTAAATAAATCTATTACGATAGAAAACCAAGCTATATATATATACAATTTTTTGACTATTTGATAATTCCCCACTAATAAGTCAAGGTGAACTCCGAAAATGTTCTCGTTCCTTTGAGCGTCATACACTGGTTCTTCCTGCGCGAGTAAGTAGATACTCACTTAATCACAAACCTTCGAAAGTATAGTTTATCTCTCGAGAGCTTGCTATATACCTCGGGGTGGAGAATATAATATATCATTATTGAGAAAAATGCCCTATTAGCACACTATGACTAACTATATATAGACTACTTAAAACTTTTCGAAGCCTATGAGCACCTTGAGAAGCAAATCAATTATACTGGATTAGGGATTATAGATCTTCCTCTAAAAGAGCGCCTTATATCTGTAGATATCACCACCGAGGGAGTATGATATTTCCTTCTGAGAATGTTTTATTTGGAATGTTTTATTTATTCTTAGTTATATGGTTCTATGATATATTTGCCTGTTGAAATATAACATAAATTGAACAAAGTTTATCTGATGATATCCCTATTCCTCGTTATCGATTTAAGAATGTTGTATACTGGGGTGTTATAGCTTCCGACACGTTTGCGATATAGCTATCTTTCGATGTGTGTGAATAACATCGGCTAATGAGTCCTTTGAGTTTATTTTGGCATTGAGACTTGATTTCGATGTGGCTTGTATATTAGGTTGTTGATAAGCACTATCCTTACTATCTAAAGCATTAGACACCGAGGATTTGATTTGAAATTTGGCGATATAGTATTGAAACTGGCGCCTTGTGATAGCCTAGCTTTCCGGATAGTTTCTGTTCTAGATTATCTCCCAAACAAAGTCATATATATCCTTATAGCGCGTAGTTAAGCGGTAGAACTTCATATCTCTAACTACTAGGTCTAGCTAAATACCTACGCGATAAAGATTATACACTTCAATATAGCTAGTGCTAGGAGGACGATTCAATACCCTTTTGTTCTGTCGGTTAATTGCGAGATTTATCGATATTAACTACTCCTTTGCTCTTTCACGTTGATCGTTGGGTTCCTAAAGAAGGGATATAACAAATCTAGTCGACTGGTTCTATAGGTGCTCGTAATAGCTAGTATCGATGGCTAGGTAAACTCCCTTGTTGAGGTGCGTGATAAAAACACTATACGGCCTATTTTGAGGATCGTGTTGGGAGAAGCCTTCGCTAGTGGTTACTTTTAAGCGAAGTCCTATAGGGGGCGCCAAATATATAGGGGCTAAATCTATAGGGAGGCTATTTAATAGGGCTTAATTAACAAATTATGAATATATGGAATAACGCAAAAATACTGTTTGGTATAAATGACACTTTTCCCCTTTTACCTACTATAATATTTGTATATAGCTACCTTCGGTATATTTAAATGATAATTACCCCTAAAGTATATTCTGACGTTGAGAGTTATAAATATTCTCGCTTCACAGAGACTAAAAACACCTATTTACTAACTTCTATTGTTAATAATATTAAATCGCAATAACAGAAGTGATAAGTCCCTGGTCGACCTTGAGAGTATAGAAGGCCAAAATATCTAGGCCGTATCGAGAAGCGAGAATAATAACCGTAACAACGTTAATAACCGCTACCGCCGCCGTAATAACTCTAATTACCGTCGCCCTAGGGAAGATTCCCCTAGTGGTATTGAGTAAGAGAGCGATACTGAACCGGAAGCCGAAAATAATCAGCGAAATAATGCTAATAACCGCCGCCACCGCACTAACTCCTATACTAGTGACGATAACCCTCCTAGTATTAAGCGCGTTAGGGGCGATACTAAAGAGGAAGGCGAAAATATCCCGGTTTACGAAGGGAATATCTCCGATAAGGATAGCGAGACAGAATTGTTCCTTCAAACTATATGGCTAATATCGGAGCTACTAGATTATACCGCGGAAATATCCGGCCTACCGATAGAAGGAACTGTGCTTGCTTGGCGTGGAAATAGCCCCGGGAAATCAGTGATAGTCGGATATATATATAGCGGGTCCGTAACTACGCGATTAATCCTAGCGGCCTGGCGTTTTATTCCCTCTCGAGCACCTAATATTTCAGAACAAAGCCTTAGCCGCCGAAGGGACTATATCCGGACCGAACGAGATATTCAAGGTTAGGGAATTGTCGTATGGCGAGTGGATAAAAGCTTAGTTAACCAGGACCCAATATCCTTATTAAAACCGATAAGTAGAGCGTGGTATCTAGAGATATATATCTATATTTATTAGTAGGGTAGAGACATAAGCTAGGAATCGCGAGAAACTCTTCGATTCGTTTATACTAGCGACTAGCTAAAGACAGATATATTAATCTATAATATGGCAAAGGAGCAAGAGGCCGATTACCGCGAAGTACTTACTAGAGTAAGGCCAAAGTATCCTATAGCGAGTACCTATATAAAAAATGAACACTAGAGAAACATAAATACATACCGAGGTGCACACTGGTCATAGCCACGTGCTAAGGAAAATAGGCGTATAACGATAATTGGATATAAACTAGCTTTCCCGAGAGAGGATAACTCTTAACACTTCGATAGCGGTATAGGTATAAACGATAACGGTACCTTTTAAGAAGTTAGTGAAGAATATCAAGAGGGATATTATAAAGGGTCTAATAAGGCAGAGGAGATAGACAATATTGAGGAAGTTTAGGACGATAGAGAACAACGATATAGAGATATTTAGTAGCTTCGGCGTGACTTAAGCCCTATTTATAAGGAAGTTTCTAAGGCCCGATCCTTCTTTACGCCTAACGATAGCCCTACCTAAGTTCGATAGTATAGTGAAATATAACAGAGACATGGTATATTTACTCTAAGAGTAACTAGGTCGCCTAGCTCTAGTTATATACCTTAAGGGAATAGAGACCCGGCCCGGGGTATACCGGAAACGCTAACTAACCGGCGTGTACTTTACCTTGATTAGGGTAATTAATAGCGGACACCACTGTTTAACCAGAATAATCAGAGGGGTTAGCAGCGGTAGACACTGTAGTCTAACCGCTCTAACCGCTCTAATCAGGGTAACCAACCCAACTAGGGCAACCAATAGCGGACACCGCAGCCTAGCTAGGGTAGTTAGCAGCAACAGACACCGTAGTCCAACCGCTCTAACTAGGGCGATTAACAGCGGACACTATAGTCCAACCAGGGCAACTAACAGCGGATACCGCAGCCCAGCCAGGGTAGTCAGTAGCGACAGACACCGCAGTCCAACCGCTTCAACTAGGGCGATTAATAGCGGACACCATAGTCCAACCAGGGCAACCAACAGCGGACACCGCAGCCTAGCCAGGGTAGTCAGTAGCGATAGACACCGTAGTCTAACCGCTTCAACTAGGGCGATCAATAGCGGACACCGCAGCCTAGCCAGGGTAGTCAGCAGCGACAGACACCACGCTCCAACCGCTCCAATCGCGCCAATCTGGGCAATCAACAACAGACACCACCATTAAACCAGAGCGATCAGAGTAGTCAGCAGCGATAGACACTATAGTCCAACCGCTCTAACCAGGGTAACCATCGTAGTATAGAATCAAGTATAGCTATACCTAAGGTCAATGGTGGTCTGACCTAAGTGCGACGCGGTCGATATCGCGCCCGACCCTAGGACTATACCACTATAGGGACACGACGTAGTACTCGAATTGCTAGTATTATAGAACGGCCTTAAGTCTATACAAATATTCGTTCTTAAATTTTTTAATAGTGTAAATTGTTAATAGCTTAATTAAACCGTTCTACGCACTTCTGGGCGACTCGCTCGAATCTACCTTTTAGAAGACCTCGGGATCTTATAAGATATGACTATCTTAAAATGGTTCTTAGATAAGCTCTAACTATTCCTTCGAATTTAGACTAGTAGGTGGAGTATATATATAAATAACCATAAAAGTCTATTGCTAAGGAGAAATGAATGTCCCCTGGCCCTAGTTTACTAGCAAATGATCCCTGTCCCGGCGGTATAGGTATTGTAGGTGTTACTATAAGTCATTTGATGTTCCTATGGCAATATATTGACGGCTTTCGATATCGTACACGATGGTATATCTATTTATATTAATGATAATAGTCTACTAATCTTAATAGAGCTATACTTATACCTAAAAACGATAGCTAGATCCTCCACTAGAGAACTAATATTGATAAGGGAAATTTCGGTAAATTGTATTAGCGATATATCGAACCTCAATAGCTATAGTAACCGAACAGTCCTAGTGCTATATCGCCGAATTTGTGAGGAGATATATGAGATTTGACCATTCAAGACGCCTATCTATTTCTCTATATTCTGTGACTATATTCACACACACTGATCCACCGGCCCGAAGGAGAAGATATATTGACTAATGGTTGTCCGACCTATCTATTATAGCACTAGTATTAACTATAACTCTTATATGACTAATAGGCTAGGTATCTATGGCGGGTTATGTAATTAATACTATATCTAGTTAACTAACTAGTACTATCTAATGGAAACCATGCGATCCTAAGTGAATCTGAAAAATATCCTACGTGACGTAGGTAAAAATGTATAGAGGTAAAAATATATAGAGGTAAAAATATATAGAGGTAAAAATATAAAAATATATAGAGGTATAATTGATCTAAGGTAAGGTAGAGTGTTAAAAGCATTAGACTATTTATGCCATATTTAAAACTATTAAATACCTGAGCTTGATAAACTATAACCCTTAGAAAGGACTTCATTTAAAATATTTCTTTATAGTATTCTGTGAATCATGAAGCCTTCTTTGAGACCTTCCCTTAAACCTAGACCTACTTCTAGGCTTTCTACTAAGCCTATATTACGAGTACCCTAGTATACTAAGGAGTATGATATCGTAGAGCCACTTATTACGTCTATCCTTTGGGGTCGCTCCAACGAAAAGCAATAGGCCTCTATTTAGCTTAACTCTATAAATAGCTAGATTCAAGCAAAAAATATTAGATATAAGGTCCCTAAGGAAAATGGATATATCGATATTGCCGCCTTTAAGGTAGCTGCCGAGTAGCTAGGTTAAGCTTTAGTAGCCTTTGCGGGACGCAAAGACACTAAATTGTTTTTGTATACTAAGCACAACCTCGATAAATATATCAGAATAGGTAAATTACCTAAATCTTAGAATATTGAGTGGGAGGTATTTTTGGATTTTTATCGTGAATAAGTTGGTATAACCTTCTTTATGGCTAGCCTAATCCTATAATTCCTAACTAATATATAGGTCGATTAAACACAAATAGTAATTAATATAAAAGGATTTCGAACGCTTAAAGGGACCTTTTTGAGGAAGAGGAAGACGAATACAATAATAATGATTTAGAGGTAGATTATTATGAATATTCCGGTGTTAATTATAAGGAGGAAGAGGAAGAGGAGGAGGATAAGGAGGTGGGGGACAAGGAGGAAGAGGAAGAGGGGGCTAACCACAATAGGTACTATAAAGACGAGATTGAATATAGCGATGAATACAATAATGACTATAGGGAAGAGGAGAGGTATATCGGATATACCGACACAGAAAATAAGGACGGGTACGATAAAAGAGAAGGTAAATATAGCGAAGATAGGATCGACCAAGAAAGTCTAGATCATGATTCTATTAATAAAGGCCTAGAATTTGCCTACCACACAGAGCGTGAGCTAGAGTGTGTCGATATTAGTTTGATTAGATACCGAGCACAAAATCATTATGGCCTTCTTTTGACCTCGGGGTTCATCCTAGGTTGGCGAAAGACTAAGCTAGCAGGTCTAGTTGTAGTTATAGGGTATGAGTGTCGTGGTAGGCGGACTGCCCGTGTGAAGCAGTACAAGGATCTAAATAATAGGCAGGAGTCTATGCTGAAGGACCGCTCTTTATCAATTCTCGGGGTTGGCTTAATAGCTTGGGAAGTAGACTCAAAGTCTTTGTTCGAACCAACGAAGTCTCTGTACCCGACTCTAAACGGGATATATCCGACTATATTTATTACAGTGTGTTAGGAGGGTGATATATAGACATAGGAGTCTCGCGAGGATTTCTACTCTTTGGTGGGGGACCTTAGCCAGTTTGAAGTCGATATCCTCCTATACTTTATGGTAATATCTTAGGAAGGAGACTATCTTAAGGCTATGACTAGGAAAAGACCGATATTCCCAGTTATCGCAAGTACCTGAAGAGTTAGATAGAGGGATCGGGAGAGTTATAGAATTAGTAATAGTCTTATTACGGTTAGATTGATATAGTGCTTTATAGTAATGATTATTTTATATATACTATTTTAGTTCTAGGTAATCTAATCGGGTTATATATATATATACGAGTAATCATAGAAAGTAGTGTCTAATTGTGTCCTAGTAGTAGCCCACTAGAACTTTAGCTCTTAGGTATATAATAAGTATTATACCCTAACTCTGGCTTAGTCAGACTTCTACTTTCCTCCTACCTGGTTGACTAAGTACCTATATATATATCTCTTATTTTTAAGCCACAATAACTAGCCCTTTAAGCACGATTCTTATTGATGATAACGAACTACCCCTAGGCTGGCGGCCAACTAATCCATAAGTCCAAAGGACCTCTCTAGGTATATCTATTAGGATCCTAATTGAACCAAACGATACTACCACTTGTAGCATCGATTTATCTCGTAAACGTAAAAGGGCGAAAGGAAAATAACCTGACACTTTGGTATAGCCTTCCCAAGACACTACGTTTTTCTAAGCTAATGATAGACTAGGATACCTGTTTCAAGAAGCTGCATAAGGTAGTTGACAAAATAGTTGAAAGTCGCGATCAAGAAGTTAAAAAGCTGCAAAAGTAACTCTAGGAACTTTATTATAAGCTTCTCCTACAAGAAGACCGGTATAAAGAGGAGCTTTCCCGATAACGTATCCTAGATTACAAAATTTACTACGAGTAGCCGGATTATTGGTATATTCTACTATATAGGTATATAATTTGTGAGCTATACGCAAATCTATATGATCAAAATTCCTACCCTTTTTGTAGAGTAAGCTTTTCGGGGTTTATTAAATGCTATCTATTTGTAGGATAGATATGTATATAGTTTCTATTCAAGACCAAATTTGAGCTTAACGTATTTAGTGATTTAATTCGAAATCCTCTTATTAGCTTAGGAATAATTGTAATTCGTGAACACTATAAAGTCTATAATATATAACCAGAGGATAAAGGTCGGGACTGTGTTAGTTGTGGACCCTTAGCTTATTTTCAATATTCTCTTCTATATCAATATTGTCTAACGGTTTAAGCTTATCACTCTAAAACTTATTAGTTCGAAATCCCCAGATTATTTTGGTTTTCTTACAATTTCGTGAGGTGGCTAGATAGAATGGATAATCCGCGTTTATCTATAAGTATAGTGTACCACTACTAGATACCCGCGCACGAATCCTAATTTCCGGGCAATTTTAGAAAGAAGACCTATTTTAAGGCAATTGAGATAATTTGGGATAATTGAACTTGAAGATTTAGATTTAAATATTATGACAGGGAAGTGGCTATATTATATATTTATATCGTAGTAGACCCTAACGCTTATATACCTTGTCTATATTACCCTTTTACACCTTATAACCATTACGCCAATTTCCTATGTCCGGTTAACACCGCTAGAGTTAAAAATTATCGGTGTACAATATTTATAATTATAGAATATTCCTAGGGCTCGAAACTTTCGGTCTATGGATCTTATAATCACTTGAATAATACTGCCTCTCAAAAATTTGCGCGCTGCAATTTTCCTAACGGTTAAATATTCTAAACACGAAATTTTAAACAGATCTTTTATTCGAGCTTATTTAAAATTTAAGCTCTTTAAAATTCAAGTCTTACTATTTTCTTATCGCTTTTATCTTCTTATCTCGGAAATTTATTATATCCTAAGAAGATATATTCGACGAATATTAGAGCTACTATAAAGGGAGAGTAAAGATATATATATATTATTTCTAAATTAATGATTTAGGTCCTCAAACTATTTAAGATTTGTATGTGGACCGGCTGGATAGAGTCTTTTAGTCGGAGGGGCTTTCCCGCCTAAACCCTGATAATTATATGAAGGTCTTAATAAGTAATGATGTTCTTTAGTAAGCTCTAGCTGCCTAGGATGAAAATAAGGCCTTCCTAACCGGCCTATTACACTTTTTAAACCTCCTAGATAAAGTGCGGCTGAAAATTTTGTATAGGAACCACCGAGTTCTGGCTACAATTAGGAGGTCTACACAATAGTGGGTGGCTGAATTTTATAGTGATGGTAAGACTTTCTATCTCACTTTATTTATCTATAATCACTTATATCACAAAGGTATAAGGTTAGCAATACAACAAGGGATCAGAGATAAGTATCTAAATGGCTAGCTATATTGCGATAGTGATATTTACCGGAATATATAGCACTACGAAACAATTGGAGATATTGAGTTAGAGCTTAGATAGAGGGGTAGATTCAGCAAAGGAGTATATCATGAGCTTACACGAATAGAGAAAGATTTTAAGAGAATCAAAAGGGCTTTTAATAAGTTATTACCCTTCTTGGGTTTATGGCAAGTCGTCAAACTATCTTATCTTGGCCGATGGCTATTAGTTAAATGTCCTAAGGTAAGTCTATCTATTTATATAACTTTAACACTACTAATTTTAGTATCTAGGAGATTGTTCGATATTTAGGACGCGTCTACGATTAGTGGTCATTTATTATAGAGGGCTATCTACCAGAGCTCCTAGACCCTAATACAGTGAATGAGCTTAAGACACTTATACCTTACCTATCTCTATATAATAGGGCTATAATCCAAGATAGAATACGGAGATAGAAGATCTTTAGGCGATTAGAGTCTGATAATAATCGTATCCTAGTGTTAGAAAGAATTACGAAGGTTAGTAGGAGGGTATTATCCTTCTATACCTTCACTAGGGACTTTATTTACTTCGAGGCTTGTATGATCGCTCTCAAAAGCTTGTAGCCTAAGGGGTATAGGGGAACTATGTCCGAAGCGTTTTTGGAAAGTTATATGCCAGATCAAACTAGTTTATATAAGGTTTAAGTTACCGAAGATATATTTGAACGTCGTGACGAAGATAGGGATGGTATGGATATATGCTATCGACAGCTTTTCCTTACCGTGATACGTGACTTTCCTTCCCTTACTAGCCTTAGACCCTACCAAGATAACAAGAAGGGAAAGCCTAAGTTATCTAGAGTTCTATTAGAAAGACTTATTAATCTAGCCTAGTTAGCTATCAAACTAGGTTTTAAGAATAATAAGATCATGACCTTATATATATATACTACGGTAAGCCGATATCAAATCGTTACTAAAGAGTTTCTTAACTAGTTATAGCCTTTAGATCGGTATTATATTGATATCGAGACTAATAGGAGTGTCGCTTAGAATATATCCGATCGAATCGGTAACGCCTCGGCTATTCGGATACCTATAGAAGAAGCAGAACTCACCATAGACTTAGAAAAGCTACCTAAGAAATTCTGTTATAGCCGACCGTCTTATAGAAGGTACCTAAGTGATCGATAGCTCTTATTTCTGGGAAATATCTACCAATAAGACGTGGTTCCGAGATCATATATAACGTCCTTTGTAATACAGCGTGATATATTTCACTTGTTCTTCGGCGAAATCAATCTATATTCCGAGGCAACGGAGGATGGCCTCTTTTCTACCCCCGATTCCCCTAGAAATAGCTACCATAGCGATATGCCCGAGAGCTACGATACCTAGTCTTGGGAAAATAAAGGAAACCATATAAATACGGATGATCTCTAAGATACGCCTCAAGATAAAACTAAATATTAAGAGCATAAGTTGTCTAGAAATTTTGGCTCTATATTAAGCGAAAGCCTTAAGAGCGATGATCCACTTAACTAGCCGCAAGTCTATTAATCAAGAGCTAATTCCTAGGAAACACACTCTATATTAACCGACTCTATATTAACTGAATCAAACTTTTGGGCTGTTGATAAGTAGTTGAAGTCACTTGACCCCTTAATAACGCCTTTAATCGTTCTTAATGGCTTACTTTCACAAACGGATAATATTCTGCTCTATTTCTGGTAAACCAGGAAGTACACGTAGCTATTAAGTAGGCCCTAAGATGAATATTTATTTGACAGCAAGATATAGCTCCTGGCAAACCAGTATTAGATGTTTATATCTATAAGTCGTTCTAAACCTTACCTAGTCCCTCTTAAATATCTCTACAATACGGCGATACGTGAAAAGCTTATTTTAGTCGGACCAAAGTATGATCGAATGGGTTTAAGTATAGATCTTATGTCTTAAGCCTAGAATAGGATTTTTGGATTTCTTGATAGTGTTAACTTACATAAACCAATTGCTTGACCTCTAGTTATTGGTTCACTATTCGTAATTATATAGAACTAACCCTCGGACCTTTATAATAGGTATAACTAAGCATCCTTTAGCAGCTATATATGATATGAAGATATACTAGTAGGGAGTTAGTAACCGTAATAAGTGGAGCCTAATATGACCATATATACCTACAAAAGCGCTTATATTGTGGCTGTTATAGTTGTATAAATAAACGTACGTAGACTATCGCTACTGTGGGAGATACTGGCATAATAAGCCTAAAGGTCATGAGTAGAGAGCCCTAGCTCGAGTACCTTGCAAATCATAATACTAATAGACTTAATATCGAACTATTTAGACCCTTAATGTCGTTCGAGCAGACAAGCTACTATATTCGCTATTTAGATTTAGTCTTAGTTATTATGTTTGGTAATATCACTAACCAATCTTCACACTACCCTGCGATGATATAAATATATTATTGTAGGTAAGGGCTATATAGTAAACACCGAGATCCCGGTGAATATACCAAAGCCTATACAATAGCTATATAGATATCAGTAGGTAAGAGAAATTCTTGATATAATTCTGTAGCTTACCTCCTTATAAATAAAAGTAAGATCAGATTCTTTTAGTTTAATGCCAGACTAAAGTTACTCTAATAAGATATCTATAAGCTCGTACGCTAGATACAGAATTCTAGACTATTTAAATATATCAAGGAGATTCACAATATTTAGGTGACTGATTATTTTTAAATAGCAAGTCTTGTCGATACCACTCGTCTTATACTCCTTAATTACAACTACCGTTCCTAGGGA